AAGTGAGAGACCACAAAAGCTGAGAATTTAAAGGAAGAAAGAGGGGGCCCTGCCAGGCCCTAGCTATTATAAGTAGCCCATCTGGGGCACCAGACATGAAAGTGAAGTCACTTAGATCCTCCAGGCCTAGTCAAGCTGCCCCAGCCCAAACCACATGGAGCAGAGACAAACTGTCTCAGCTTAGTCCTGCCCAAACTGCAGAAATGTGACCCAATGAATGGTTGTTCGGTGGTGGTTTGTTACACAGCACTAGGTAACTGAAGCAAAGCATATATGGGCTCTTCGAAAAGTTCATGAAAAATACATATCATGAAAAAATTATGCATGGATTTCAAAACTTTGGGGGCCAAAATAAACTCATCCTTTAATTCCATTTTGCCATGAACTTTTCAGATACCCTCATATTAATCACAAAGAGATCAATAATGGGTTTCCGTATGTGTGTCTGAAATTTTTCTCTCTCAACTCTAAGTACTAGGAAGGCCAAACACTTACCTACTTGTTCACAGCTAGAGTCTCTGTACCCAGCACACGGTAAAAAGGTAACAATGATTTATTTAATTGATTGATTAATTAACTTCACCATTTCATGCAAGTGAGAGATCTATATGTCACTTATTTCAGTCTTAAATTTAACCTGTGTATGAGGATTATGGACAATTTAGAATCCTTATTATAAGGATTTGTCACGAGATTTGCAACTGTGCTAAAAATATTTCACAGTTGGCTCCTGACATGCAACATCAAAGTCACTCAGCAAATAGACAGGACTCAGAACTGGAAGGAACAGAAATTTCTGAAGCAACATGTTATTACAGGACATAATGATCCTTAACATGCTAATTGTTTGTCTCAACTATACCCAAGGAAGTGCTGAAAGATTTAATTTTTCCCCTTGGTGGCAATTCTTTCCTTTGTTATTTCTTTCCTGCAAGGTAATTTGCATTTGAAAAAAAATGTTTCCTACTGTTTTTCCATCATTGCAAACCTTCATTAAAGAAGTAAGAGTAAAATTATGCATTTCAATCATAGCGCTATCATAGCAGTGTGGGACAAACGTGTAATTTTACATAGCTAATTTTTGCAGCAGTAGCTATCACTATGCAGCCTGCAACATTGAGTTTTTCCAGGTCTCTCAGCCCTGAGAATAGTACTCAGCCCTCTATACCCCTTCAGTCAATGCTGTTGACTAGATGAATTTGAGGAATGAACAATGGAAGCTTATAAAAACTGTTCAGCAATGAACATCCCTTAAGAGAGATTGCTCCAACAAGCTTTTCTATTTGCAAAGGGTAACAGAGAATTCAGAATATGATTGAATCACTGTAAGTTTCAATTCTCAGTTACATAATCACAATCCTTTGGACACGAGACAAAGAAAAAGTAATTTTATATGGCTGAGTCATAAAGTGATAATGTTTTATAATATTAAATTCACATCCTCTATTTTATCATTATACATTATTTGAATTAAAATGTCATTAAAAATAATTAAAAAAATAAACTCATGTGCCTTTTTAAATGTAACTATCCAGAAACTGGAAGTTTCCCATACTGATGATCTAGTCTCTCAAAAATAAAACAGGAGGATGACAATTTTATCACCTACTCTGTTTATCTTTTGTTCTTACTACCCAAAAGTTTTTGGTTTTTTTTTTTTTTTTGAGAGATTTTTGCTATAGGGCACATACGCTCGCCAGAAAGACAGAGAGAGACATAGAGACAGAAAGCGAGAAATCACCCCCCAGGGGGGACGGCCACGCCGCAATCCCTTCTCCTCCATTCTCCTCTCAGGATCTTGGGCACGCACGCACACGTGCCCAGCGTGAGTTTTAAGCCACCGGTCCGGGACACAAACCGCGGTCGACTACATGGGAGTCCAGCAACATAGCCATTACGCTAACTGCTGGTTCCCACTACCCAATAGTTTTAACATATATACAGGATTTAGGGTCACAATCAAACAACTATTCCAGTGTCTGGACTAACCATGACCCCATGCTGTTATCGAATAAGAGCTATCTTATATCTAAATAATAAATTCATAAAAATCTCAGAGTTGAAAGCAGCTTTAAAGTTTATTAGTTCAATTCTCTATTAAAGGCATGAGCTCTGATATAGCATTGATATGGTCTTCCCCCAAAGGTTCACATGCTAGAAGCTTGTTTCCCAATGTAATGGAACTAGGAGATGGTGGATCTTTAGGAGGTGAGGACTAGAGGATGGTGTTTGGATCATGGAAGGCACTATTCCCATGAAGAGATTAATGCTATCTCATGGGTGGAAGAGAGTTCTTACTTTATAGGGAATGGGTTAGTTCCAAAGAGAGCAGGTTATTATAAAAGTAAGATGGCTGCCTCCCGCCCCAGATCACTCTTTCTTTCTTTGCATGGCCTGCTGGTCTCCTTGCTTCTGCTGGCCATGCTGTGACACAGCACCAGAGGCCAATCTTCTACTGGCCCCACGCTCTTAGACTTCCCAGAATCAAGAGCCAAATAAACCTCTATTCTTTATAAATGATCCAGTCTCAAGCATTTATAATTTAGCAATACACTAATGGACTAAGATGAACTCCCTAAACAGAAAATACATTCAAATGGTCAAAGATATCTACTGGGGTATTTCCAATGACCAGAAGCTCTCACCACCTTCTGAAGTAGCCCATTACCTCTTTTGGTGGGTCTAAATAAAACAGCTCTCCCTAATATCAATCTGAAATATCTTTCCTATGTCCTCCATCTACTGGTATTAGTGTAGTTTGTAGTTGAACACCTGCTAGTCATCCTGAATATAGCAAATCATTCTGCCGCCTTAACAGTTCCTCAAAAATATGAAGGTAGTTATGAGGTTCTCCCTCTAGTGTTCTCAAGTTCTTTTACTCTTATTCTTCAGTCATGATTCTAGGTTAGCATTTCCCAAAACACAGAGAAAAGGAGAATTTAAACACATTTAAACAGCTTTTTTTTTCTTACAGTTCTTCTTGGGAACATTTATGCTAATAAATACTATGATTTTCCAAAACAGAGGGGAGGGTAGGATGATTTTTTTTTTTTTGAGAGGTGTTTTTGTTTTTTGTTTTTTGTTTTGTGTGTGTGTGTTTGAGAGGTTTTTGCTATAGGGTGCATGCACTTGCCAGAAAGACAGAGAGACAGAGATAGAAAGCGAGAAATTGCCCACCAGGGGGGAATGGCCACACCACAATCCCTTCTCCATTCTCTCGGGATCTTGGGCACGCATGTACATGCACCCGGCATGAGTTTAAGCCACTGGGTCCAGGACTCGAACCACAGTTGGCTACATGGGAGTTCAGTGACATAGCCATTATGCTAACTGCTGGACTATTACCATTTCATGGAATATAGATTTTTGGAACTGTTGTCTTGAGCCATTTACAATCCTGATTCTCTCAACTGGAAACAAATTGAGCTTGCTCATGTCCCCATAACTAGACCCAGGACTCAGGTGGGGGCTAAGCTGACCAGTATGAGCAGAAAGAATACCCACTTCATTGGTTCTAGAAGCTATACATCTATTAATACAAAATAGGTGAATGTATAGGAAGTCATTTCACTGAAGAAAACTATACAACTTAGATCTAGAATGATATTAATGGAATTGGTAAATACAAACCTAGAATTTTTATGTACTCTAATGAGTACTTTCCCTGCTAAGCACTTCTCATTTTTGAGCACAGCAATCTGACAGCTTCCAACTCCTAGTACCTGAAACTAGTTCCTTGAAGGACCTTTCTCTGGCCATGAGAGTCCTCTTGGCCCAGGCTGAGCACTACTAGGTAGTTAATAATCTTGGTCGTAGTCCTTAACCAATGACAGAAGGTCAACTGGAGGGGAAATACACCCACTTCCTTGTCCCTAAGGTAGGATCACCTGAAGCATGTCTATAGTTGCTTAGCAAGCCTGAGTCCCAGCTGCCCATGGTGATAACTGACTTTGTAACATAAACACGGTAAAAAGGCTCTAAAAGAAGTCTATGTGCTAATCCCTGGAACCTATGAATATGTTAACATTATACAGCAAAGGGGAATTAAGGTTGCAGGAGGAATTAAGATTACTAATAAGCTGATTTTTTAAGAGATATTTTTGATATAGAGTGCATGTACTCGCTGGAGAGACAGAGAGAGACAGAAAGCAAGAAATCACCCCCCCGGGGTGGGGGATGGCCATGCCTCAGTCCCTTCTCCTCTAGTCTTCTCTCAGGATTTTGGACACACACGCACATGTGCCCGGTGTGAGTTTGAAGCTACCAGGTCCGAGACTCAAACCATGGTCATCCATGTAGGAGTCCAGCAACATAACCACTACACCCTCCGCTGTTCCCAATGAGCTGATCTTAAAACAGGGAAACTTGAGTGTTGGGTTACAATCCTGGATTATCTGAGTGGGCCCAATGAAATCACAAGGATCTTTAAAAGTAGAAGAGAGAGGGGAAAACAGGGGGCGTGGTGGTTAAGGCACTGGACTTCCACATGGCCTATCACAGTTCAAGTTCCAGGCCAGGCAGCTTGAATTCACATAGGGCGTACATGCATTCTCCTGAAAGGGGAATGGAGGAGAAGAGATTGCAGAGTGGCCACTCACTCTGGAGGTTGAGTTCTCACTTTCTATCTCTCTCTCTGTCTTTATCTTTGGTGAGTGCATGCACCCTATGTCAAAAATCTTTAAAAAAAAAAAAAAAAGGGACCACCAGTTGGACAAATGGCT